GGTCTTCCTGCTCTGCCTTCAGCAGGGGTTTATATTATACACTTCAGGCAGGCAGAGGGGTGACATTCGCATATGAAATGGACTGAGATCACAATCACCTTTTTTCTAAGAATAGTCTGGGGTCGTTTTGACCTTTAATTGAGATTATAACATCTTTAAAATCAATCTATCAAGGTTAAAACAAGTATATCGATTTACAAAGTTTAAGACTAATATTGCTATATTTACCACAGTGAAGATTAAAGTCCCTTAAACAAAATAAAGTCCCTTAAACATTATCTATTACTTAAAGGCTTTCATTCTCATAGAGACATCCTAGGGGGTATAAAGTAAAGTAAGGGCAGGAAATTTCTTGTATATCAAATTAAGGTAAGGTTCTTTGAAAAACTTGTTAGAAAGTTTAAGTGAGTTTTCTTGAAGTCTAGATGGTAGAAAACCTGAGTAGCTCTGAATAGGGGACTTGGGTGAATTTCCATATCTAAAGACTAGGTAGTAGGAAGTTGGAGTGGTTATATAGAAACTGAATAGAAGGCTAGGTGAGATAGAGTGACTAAGATTTGGGTTTTCCTCCGTCTGGCAGTGAGAGAGACTTTGCAGTAACAACCATTTGTTTTTATTAATCAGCCAGTTGTTTAATGACTTTTGACTTCAAGAGGAATTTCTCACCCTGGTGCAGTACTTGCTTGTCAGAGCCAGGTAGCGCCTTATGCGGCTGAGGCAATCCAATTGTAAGCTGAAGGTTGTTCAGAATATTTTCATATTACGATTACACAAAAAAGGGAGGTCATAACATAAGTTAGCGTGGAAAGTCTGATTTTTCAGAGCACTTTTGTCTCTATCCGGAATATGTCAGTTGACAGAGGTTGCATAGCTTGCGTCACCCCTCCCCTGCATTCCTCTGGGTGTGGGGCATCTGTGGCCAGGGCATAGGGAGTGTCACATACCTCATTAACCCCTCTCTGACCATCGCTGTCATCTCGGCTGCTCAGGGGAGCATGTCTCACAGATGACTGTCATCTATCATGTGTCCGCAAAGATCAAGGGGATCACTGAGGCTTCTTCCAAGGTCCAGTGTTCTAGGGGTTTCTGATTCTCCTATCTATGCCCCAGAGTTGGGCCATGGGAGAGCTGGCTTTACAAAGCAGGGCAGTCTGCCTTGGGAGAAAGGGACATGAGGTAGGGAGAGGACCCCAGGATTAGGATTAGGTCTGGGCAGCAGCAAGGCCACCAACAAGGTCAAGCAAGTGCAGCCCAATGAAGACATTGAGCCCCCACTGCCATGCCCTCACTGTGCCGGGTATGGGACTCTAGGAGTCACTAAGACATAACTAGATAATGTCCTGTGGAAGCTGCATTATCAACTAGGTGCAGTGGCTGTTAGAGTGAAGTATAAGGTCTAGTTGGAGAGGCGGGCCAGACTGGGGGATTTCAGCAGATGAGTAAGATTCCCACGAGGCTGGAAGAACTAAGGTCTGAGAACATCATGGGCGATTGCCCAGAAGTAGCAGAGTCAGCATCGGTGCATCAGACAAGTGTGGGCTGAGGAAAGGCAAGGTGAAACGGCTGAGTGGTGGGAGAGGCTGCCCTACACCCGGCCCGGTGTCCATACTGAGTTCAGACATTACCCTAGGGCAGGGGTGGGCTGTAGAGGGAAACACGAGTCGGATCTCGCTGACCTACTTACTTAGGAGCTGAAAGAGCTTCGGGAAGGGGGACGCACATGACTTAGTGATTTACTGAATGAAGGAGAGCTAGAGCAGATGGTGGAACATTCCGCCAAAGGAAGCCAGGGCAGGATCTGGGTGTGTTTGGGTGCTGCTGAAAAGCTGGTGGATCCAAGATACCCTCTTCTGGCCCCTTCCTAGGTATTTAGCGACATTGGTGCCATCCAGAGCCTGAAACGCCTCGTATCCTACTCCACCAATGGCACCACGTCGGCGCTGGCCAAACGCACTCTGCGCCTGCTGGGTGAGGGGGTGCCGCGGCCCATCCTGCCCTGCGTGGTCAGCTGGAAAGAGTCTGAGGTCCAGACATGGCTGCAGCAGATCGGCTTCTCCCAATACTGCGAGAGCTTCCTGGTACGAGCCAGCTCATCCCCGAGGGTGGCAGCAGCCTGGGGCTCCTTGCACAAGGGGCTCCTTTGGGGAGGCGGGAGACTCCATTCAACCTCTTTCGGGGTCCCTCAGTCCTAATCTGGACCCACTCACCGCCTCCAAAACCATATCCACTCCCCTCCCCTTGATCTTGTGCTTGGCATCCAGTGGCTAGGCAAGGAGACCCTTCTTTACATCTGACCCATCCCCCAGGAGCAGCAGGTAGATGGTGACCTGCTCCTTAGGCTCACGGAGGAGGAACTCCAGACCGACCTGGGCATGAAATCAGGCATCACCCGCAAGAGGTATGAGGCCTCCAGACCACCGCCTCCTGCTCCCCTCCCCACAACTAGGTCTAATCAGATGCCCCTTCCGCCACTAGCCAGCTCCTCAGGGCCTCAGCGTCCTCTCTTCCGTGGGCTACAGATTCTTCAGGGAGCTCACAGAGCTCAAGACCTTCGCCAACTATGCTACGTGCGACCGCAGCAATCTGGCTGACTGGCTGGGCAGCCTGGACCCGCGCTTCCGCCAGTATACATATGGCCTGGTCAGCTGCGGCCTGGACCGTTCCTTATTGCACCGCGTGTCAGAGCAGCAACTTCTGGAAGACTGCGGCATCCGCCTGGGCGTGCACCGTGCCCGCATCATCACGGCTGCCCGAGGTCAGCCTGCCAGCCCCCCCAGCACTCCCCAAAACCCCCTTCCATGGAGGAGCGAGGGGAGACGCAAGATGGAGTCCTAGTGTGTGCCTGTGGATGGAGAGCTTAGCCCAGTGGGTGGGAAGGCCCAGAGCTTACAGATCAGCCTGCAGTAACAACACTTAGAAAGTATGGGTGTTTGGGGAGGTCTCGGGGCTGAAGGGGGTCTCGGGGTCTAGTAACCTTTATTTAGTAATTCGTTTTAATGCACTGGTTTACTATTTAGCTAATATCTATTGTCAATTACTTGAAACTTTTTAAATAAAAGGAGGTATCATTTAATCTAAAAGTACCCAGTTTGAAGAGTTTTGAGAAATGCATGTCCTTGTTGAAGATGTTGAAACTAAAACTTAAAGAATTTAAATACACTTCCCAAAGTTATGATAACCATGAAGTAATGGAACTGGGACCTGAGGTTAGGTTTTCTCTCCATAGGCAGACACATGTTATCTGTGAGTGTCAAATCTGAATCTTAAAAGACGGCGCTTTCATGCATCCATTCATTCAGCAAATACCTACTAGTAGGAACCTGAGTAGACGTTCTCTCTACTCAAAAGGGACAGGGGATGGCCTTTGGCCCAATTCTTTGTTCCCACTGGAGCAGATCAGCTTTTAATCATTCTAATTGCAACTCTCAATAAAACTTCAAGATTTCATTTCTTAAAAACAGGCAGTAATAGTTTGCAAGCCCTTCCTACGGGAGTGGGGAGCCAGACATAGTGTCAAAGCGTGCTCAGTTTTGCTGTGTAGCCATAGCAAGCAGGTTAGCCAGGCAAATGTGGATTTGGGGTGCACACTGCGAGAGTTGAAGGCCTTTGCTCCGGAGTCCCGGATGTTTAGTAGGAAGAATGCACAGCACACAGTGCTGGCTCTGAGCACTGAAGGTCAGCTCCGTGAGGTGGAGTTTGTTTTGTTTACTGCTATATCTCGTGCTTGGCTCACAGTAAGTGCAATTAATATATGTCATGTGTTGAGTGAACGAATGAGAGGCAGTAGTTGAAGCTGAAACTCAGGTTTATGGTCTTGGTGGAAAACTAGGAAGAAGGGGCTGGCAGGATTCGGGTCTGTTGGGTTTGGAGCACTGAATTGGATTCGGGTCTGTGGGCAGCTGGCTGTGCAGGGCTGTGGAGCAGAGCGGAGGCAGGGCTGGAGGTACGCGTCCAAGTCCCAAAATGCCCGCCTCCCAAAAGGCAAATAGTTTGCAGTCTTCCTTCCTGTCGCCCCCTGCCCCACCTCAGTGACCTACTCTGGAGCCAGCTCCCCCCTGAACTGGGCTGAAAGCACTGCAGAGACAGGGATGGCACACCCCATGGTGTGCTCCATGGCCTCCCTCACCAAACCTTCCCTTGTCTGCCTCAGAAATGCTGCACTCCCCACTGCCCACCACCATCTGCAAGCCCGGTGGAGACGCCCCGGATGTCTTCATCAGCTACCGCAGGAACTCGGGTTCTCAGCTGGCCAGGTGAGGAGGGGCAGCCAAGCAGGTGGGCGGGCAGCCTGGGGCCCTGGGACAAGGCCACGGCAGTGACTAGGGCTTCGTTGCAGCCTCCTGAAGGTGCACCTGCAGCTGCATGGCTTCAGTGTCTTCATCGATGTGGAGAAGCTGGAAGCAGGCAAGTTTGAGGACAAGCTCATCCAGAGCGTCATGAGTGCCCGCAACTTTGTGCTGGTGCTGTCAGCGGGGGCACTCGACAAGTGCATGCAGGATCACGGCTGCAAGGACTGGGTGCACAAGGTAGGTGCTGGCTCTGCTCCCTTGCTGGCCGGCAGCCCAGGGACAAGGTTCCCCTCCTATTCCTTGTCATCGGCACAGTCCGGCCATCTCCATGGCCCACTGGACACCAAGAGTCACGGCTCAGACTGTAGTAGGTTGCTCTTCATGGATCACTAGGCTCTCTGGGTCTGTTTTCTCACTTACAAAATGGGATAACTGGTATGTTCTGTCCACCTTATAGAGTTGTTGTGAGGACCAGAGAGGGACAAAAATACCTGGAAGAATAACCTCAGTGAGAGGAGTGGGCAGAAAGCAGTGCCCAGCATGATGAAATCGTTAGGAGGACAAAGCTACGAGTTTAAATCCTTCAATGAATTATTTATCTCCATCGTGCGTCATGTTTATTGCTGGAAAGTGGGACAATCACAGTACCAAGCTCCTAGAATATTGTTAGAAGAATTAAAAGAGCTAAAATTTGTGAAGTGTTCAGCCGATACCTGGCACACAATGAGTGCTCTTAGAGGGTAGTAGTTATTACTGTGAGTTCTGCCACTATTGAGTTTACCATTGTAGTTTTACTGCCTGGTGCATAGTAGAGACTTACTGAAGACATGCAGGATGGATGGGTCCATTCATGTCACAGCATTAATCAGTGAGTAGGAGCAGGTTCTGGGGCTGAAGGATGCAGTGGTCAGAATGCCTAGTGCAAGTGAGATGGTAAAACTCATGCTTGATGTGGGTATATGTAGAAGAGAAAAACTACTGAGGGCTGGAATAATCAGGGAAGGCTTCACGGAGGAAGCTAGACTTGAGAAGTCTTAAGAATGTATTAGTGGGGCCCTCCCTGGTGGCGCACCGGGTTAAAGCACAGAGAGCACTAAGAAGCTAAAGCATGAGTTTGATCCCCACCCTGGAGGTGACCCACAGAGCACAGCAGACCTCTCCTGACCCACCCACTGCTCCCCTCAGCAGTGTACTTTGTCAGTCGGCCTGTTCTGCTCCACACTTGGTCTCTGGTGAAGCCTCTCACCACCCCCACACCTCTGGCTTGTCCCCCAGTTCTGTATGCATAAATAAATAAATCTTAACAAAGAATGTATTAGTGAACAAGAAGGCACCCCAGGCAGGGGAACAATATGAGCAAGGAACAAAAGTAGGGATGAAAATGGCACTACAAATCTGCATGTGTCATGGTATTGCTTTCCCTATCTTGTAAGATAAACAAACAAAAAAGTAGACTAAGTTTTCCCCTGGCTATTCTACTGGTGTCAAAACCAGAAAAGCTGGGCTTTGAACTGGGCCTGATTCCAAAGCCCATGCTCTTTGCTAGGACCCACCTGTGTTCCATGGCACAGGTCTGAGGTGGGGTGAGTGGGGCCTAGGGCTGGCTTCAGCAGACACTAAGCAGAATGACTGTCTGCATTCCTTCCCAACTCCAAGCTCCATACATGGCATTAGTAGCTTGACATCAGCCACAATGGGAGTTGTTACACTGACGACATTGGTAAACACTGCAAATCAGGGTTTTGGTTACTTGGTTGGCTTTTTCTGCTCCTGGGGAGCCAGTTGTTACCATCTGCCAGCATACTGCTGGCTGGATTAGAAATATGGAAGCAAGTTGTGGAGTTGAGTTTAAAGCTTTGAGAAGAGAGAGCCTGCAAGAGCAGTGTCAGCAGGCCAGTGGTTTAGGGAGGAGCCTCCGGCACCTGGGTGCGTCCAACTGGCACTGGGGAAGGGCCACGCCTTGGCGGCCTTGCATGGGCAGCTGAGCCCTGGGCTGGGTCTGGGGAAGGCGTTCTGGAAGGAGAGGCAGCCTGCGGGAACAGGGCCGGCGGCTCCGAGCAGGTGTCAGGCCCCTGAGTGAACGGGGAGTACCTGGGAGCTCCACGGGCGCCCAGACCAGGCCTCGCTCCCGGTACCTTCCGTGCCTGCATCCAAGCATGGCACAAAGCACAGCACACCTCTCGCAGTTTATACAACCATACGTAACTATTAGGTTGCCAGGCTGGACTCTAGCTGTTTCCATTCTTTTTTTTTTAAAGATTTATTTATTTACTCATACAGAACTGGGGTACAGGCCAGAGATGTGGAGGGTGAGAGGATTCACCAGAGACAGAGTGGAGAGCAGAACAGGCAGATTGACTGAAATTACACTGCTGAGGGGAGCAGCGGGCGGGTCAGGAGAGGTCTGCTGTGCCATATGGATCTCTTCCAGGGCAGGCTGGATCCAACTAATGCGGAAGTGGCTTAAGCTTCTCAGTGCTGTGCTTTAACCCCTGAGCCACCAGGGAGGGCCCTGTTTCCATTCTTAATGGAAGCTAAGTTATCTTGAATAAGCCATTTTCTCTTAGCCAGTCTCTGAATCTGTGAAACAAATGCCTAAGGTTCCCAGATAATTTGTGGTGGGGTGAGAATTCAACTCCTCAGTGTGGTTTGGTTGAAACAGACCTAGACTTGAAATATAGCCTGAGCCTGAGGCCTTCATGGGTATTTGTGTGTGTGTGTGTGTGTGTGTGTGTGTGTGTGTGTGTGTGTGTCTGTCTGTCTGTCTGTCCCAGGAACAAGTGCCCTCTCTGTGTTTCTCCTTCTTTTTATTTTATTTTTTATTTTTTTTTAAGATTTATTTTATTTGTACATACTGAATTGGGGTACAGGCCAGAGGCTCAGGGGCAGCGAGAGGCTTCACCAGAGACAGAGTGGGGAGCAGAACAGGCAGATCAACAAAGTACACTGCTGAGGGGAGCAGCAGGCGGGTCAGGAGAGGTCTGCCGGGCCATGTGGTCACCTCCAGGGCAGGCGGGAATCGAACTCATGTGAAGTGGCTTTAGCTTCTCAGTGCAGTGCTTTAACCCACTGCGCCACCAGGGAGGGCCCACTCTCCTTCTCCTTTTTAAATGGAGGTCCCCCAGGAAGCTGGTCAGGGTTGACATTATACAGGGTCGACACAATCAGGGTTGACATTGTACAGGGTCTTTCTTCAGAAAGGCTCTGATCCACAAGGGTGCTTGGCACCCCTCAATGTCTCAGTTGACTGCAAGGAGGAAGAGGCAGATGGGGTGGGGAGTGGGTGGTGGTGGCAGTTTTTGCCTTGGACCAGTCTCCAAGGCTCCGTCATCCCCTTGGTTGCTTTGAGTCCTTAATTGCCTCTTGTTTTTAAACTCCTTTCCCTGAAGCCACATTTAGTGGGTAATCAATATAGAAAACCACAAGTGAACTGCACTCAAGAAAGTCTAATCTTTGTGGTTCCCCCTTGAGAGAAAAAAAAATTCAGTAAGTACTTACCAGAGCATCCATTAATAGTAAGTAATATCCTTAGAACAATCTTGTGAGTAAGATTACTACCCCCACTTTACAGAGGAGGGAATAATTGCACCTATTATTTATTATGGATTCGCAATGTGCTAGGGGCTGTTCTAACTACTTGCCGTGAGATATAACTGCAGTTATTCCGCCAGCCATCCTACAAGTAAGGACTATTGTTCACCTTGTTTCACATATTAGGAAACAGAGGTTTGGGGAGCTTGTTGTTTTTTAAGATTTATTTATTTATGCATATAAGAACAGGGGCACAGGCCAGAGATGTGGGGACAGAGTGGGAAGCAGAACAGGCAGATTGGCCGAAATAACACTGCTGAGGAGAGCAGCCAACGAGACAGGAGAGGTCTGCTGCGCCATGTGGGTCAGCTCCGGCCAGGGATCAAACTTGCACTGCAGTGAGTGGCTCAGATAGCTTCATAGTATCAGAGAGACAGCAACTGAGCCCACTGGCCTTGAAAGTAACGCCAGAGCTGGGGACTTAACCCCTTGTGCTACCGGGGGTTGGGGTCGGGTGGGGGGGCGTGCAGAGATCTTGTTTTCACCTCAGGTCACAGAACCTGTGTCAAAGACTCAATGTGAACCCAGATCTGATGATTCCAGAGTTCAACCCCTAACTGCTAGGGGTGGTCTCACTCATTCATTCAGCCAGACAGCCAGCAGTCATTGTTTAGCAAGAGCTAACCATGGGCGGGGCTTTGTGAAAGTCTGAGTAAAAACCAGACATGGTCCCTGCCCTTATGTCTAGTGGGAAAGACAGGTATGAAGTAAATTACTGAACCGACCATTTAAATTAGCAACTGTAGCATGTTCTACAGAGCCTATAAGAGCCTGTGAGAGCCTGTAATGGGGGATCTGACCTGGTCAGGGGAGGGTGGGGACACTTGTTGCATTGGGCAACACCACACGTGTGTGTGACAGGAGTCGTGGAGCAGGACTCCTGGCCTTTTTATTGGTAGACTAATCACACAGCATTAATCATGTGAGGAAGTGAAAAAGAAAGGGAGAATTAGAAGAAGCTGGGCAAAAGGTGGAACTGTGCATCTGCTGATAGTTTGATATGTAGAACAGCCCTGACTCTTCCAGTCAGGATTTCAGTCTTATCAATAAGGCGTTCCACTGATCAGCTTCTGGGGTCCTTCGTTATACATCAGCTTCTGGGGTCTTTCTGTGCATCTGCTGATAGTTTGATATGTAGAACAGCCCTGACTCTTCCAGTCAGGATTTCAGTCTTATCAATAAGGCATTCCACTGATCAGCTTCTGGGGTCCTTCGTTATACATCAGTCAACGGCCCCCGGGGAGTTCCTGGTCATACCTCAGATGTGTAAGTCAGGAGTAAGATTATGCATCCGTCCTCAGCCCCCCGGGCCTTCCCAGTCAAATCTCGTGATGCAGACCCTTCCCAGGGTGATCTAGTTTTATGTTCTAAATTGATGTGAAAGGTGCCTCACAGGATTGGGCTCTTAGAATGAAGGTTGGATAAGCCACCTAGGATTAGCAGACCCACAGACTCTCAGAGGAAAGTGTTGATTGAACACAGGTAAAGGAAAAAATCGGTATTAACGAGGTGAAGGGGAAGAACATTCTAAACAGAGGAGGAAAGAGCATGTCCAAAGCCCCTGTGCAGGGAGAGAGGATGGCAAAACTAAAAGGGTGCAAGGTCTGAGGGGACAGTGCAGGGGCAGAGCTTGACAATTATACTGTGACCAGCCCCAAGGAGCTTGAACTTGATTCTGAGAGCCATGTAAAGTCTTGAGGCATTTAAGAAGGGGTGACATGATCAAGATTTATACTTTATAAAGTGTCGCTAGATGAAGGGGCAATGTGGAGCTGAGTGAGAGGGGCAAGAGCGAACATACCTGGTGGGGTCTAGAGATAATAGGGGTAGGAACAGGGCAGTTGTGCTGGGGTGCAAGTAGAGAAAAATGGGTGGATTTGAGAAATAAGTGAGGGATACAGTTGCCAGAGCTCATGATGGAGTCATTTGGATGCAGGGGTATGTTTTTCTTCTAGCATCAAATTGTGGGATTTTTTCCCACACCAACAATCAATTCTCCGACCCCAGAGAGTTATCCCACAGTTTAATCCTGATGCTAAATACCCAGAATGAGCCCTTGCTTCAAATGTCCTAGGCTACCCATACTTCTGACTCGGTTACAGATTCAGAACTCCCCCTTCTCCATTCAGTAAATTTCCTAGAATGACACATAGAACTTAGGAAAGCCCAGGCCCCCTGGTGGCGCAGCGGGTTAGGACGTAGCACTGCAAGCTGGCCGCAGCTGCTTCAGTGCCAGTTCAATCCCCGGCCCCAGAGGGCCCCAGAGGTGACCCACAGGGCACAGCAGACCTCTCCTGTCTCGCCCTGCTGCTCCCCTCAGCAGTGTACTTCATCCATCTGCCTGTTCTGCTCCCCGCTCTGGCTATGGTGAAGCTTCTCACGGCCCCTGCACTCCAGTTCTGTATACATAAATGTTAAAAAAAAAAAAGAACTTAGGAAAGCCCTTGACTACTCCTGATTCGCTAGATATGACCGAGGGGCATCCAAGCAGAGGGGGGCATAGGCCTGACCTGGTCAGGGGAGGGCGGGGAGGGGGCACCACATGAGGGTGCAGGCAGGAGCGGCCCGGAGCGCCACGCTGCTGTGCAGCCTCCCCAGGCCGATATGAGTTCAGTGTTGATTCTCACAGCAAAAAGAATTTTGGAGACTTTGTTGTATCTTACGGGCCTTTAATGCTGAACCAGGGACAAACCCGCAGGCAGGGAGACTGCAACTGAGCCCACTAGCCTCAACTTTAAGGCCAGAGCTGGGGACCTTTCAGCTCGCACTCAGGGCACAGGTGTCTGCATTTACATATGCGCGTGCCCGAGCTCTCTGGGCCCAGGTGTCTGTAATCAAAGGTGTGTGCGCCTGCACACCTCTCACCTCACAACCTAGGAGAGCAAGACCACCGTGGCAGTAGCAGAGGCTGGAGGTGGGAGGGTGGAAAGAGGCCTGCGCTCACTCCATTTTCCCTGCACATGCCCGCTCCAGGTCACCCTCCCAGCGCCTAGAGGTGTTCACAGCCCAGCAGGTGCTTAGGGCTGTTGTGGATGTGTGCGTTGGTGTGATTCAGTCAAGGGCTACTGGGGGCTGGACTTACTCTCCAGCATCTTTCCTCTCCCAGTGCAGCGTGAGGGTGGAGGGTGGCTAAAAGCTCTCTCAATCATAGCTTGGTCTTTCTGGTAATCTGCTCCCACGCTAAAGTGAGGGCTAGGCACTAGGCCTTCCTCGCCACCCACCTCCTCCCTCGTCTCCCAACCCTCTGGTGATTCCAAGGTTTTTAGAGAACCTGGGAGAAGGGCCAGTTGTTTTTTATTATATCAGAGGGGCAAGGAAGAAGTCAAGTGGACTGCAGCACCAGCACCCCCTGAGTTGGGCCTTGGGCTACTGGGCCCCACTGGTGCCTAGCGCCAAAGCCCAGGCATGCAGACTCGGGTCTCTTCCTCCTCCCCTCTTCTTTCTCCAGGAAATTGTGACAGCTCTGAGCTGCGGCAAGAACATAGTGCCCATCATTGACAACTTCGAGTGGCCGGAGCCACAGGCCCTGCCCGAGGACATGCAAGCTGTGCTCACCTTCAATGGCATCAAGTGAGGCGGGGCACGCGGGCACAGGGGTCCCCCGCCGCGGCCCCCTCTGCCCGGCCCTGACCCACCAGCCTCTATGCCCACAGGTGGTGCCACGATTACCAGGAAGCCACCATCGAGAAGATCATCCGCTTCCTGCAGGGCCGCTCCTCCCAGGACTCCTCTGCAGGCTCTGACACCAGCTTGGAGGGTGCCACACCCATGGGCCCAGCCAGCCCCTAGTTCCCAAGCCCTGCTGTCACCCTCATTTCCATCCCAGCCCCACCTTCCAAGAGTAGCTCCTCAACAGGCCACTCTGGGGCAACCAGGGCTCTTCTCAGGAAACGGCTCTTCCAGTCCCCACCTCACGGTCCCCCAAACCCAGCTTCCTCAGTGTCTGGTGAAAGAAGTCAGGCATTGTGGCAGTAAGCCACTCCAAACCCTGCCACCAGATTCTGTCTTGGGTGTGGGGACGTCACTGCTCAGTTCTGGAGTCACTTGAGGTGTCTCCTCCAGCTTGGGCAGGAGGCCCAGCTCCTCTCAGCAGCAAGGGCCTGGGCTCAGGAGCCAGTAGGGAGGAGAGTCCAGCTGTGCCTGGGCCCGGGCTCACCACTCCCGGCTGCCCTAGAGCCACTCAGTGCCCTTAGCTGCCTGGCCAGGCCCTGAATCTCCCCTCAGCCTTCCTAGGTGCAGCCTCCTGTACACACTGGGCGCAGGGGCAGGCCGAGCCGCCCCAGGCTGGCCATGCTGCAGCTGCTCTGGCTTTACTGCACTCACTGGTGCCCGGAGGCCCTGCCTGGGCCCAGCCCAGAGCAGACCACACCTCAAAGGGCAGCCAGCCTGCCCCGCCTGTGCCTTGGTGCTGCGCTTCAGACTCCTGCCCTGCCTGGTCTAGCTGGCTTCTCCCAGCCCCTTACCCACCCACTTGTAGGGGGAAGAGGGACAAGGCAGCCCGTGGCAGGAGCAATAGCTTGGCCAGAACCGGCGGCTCCATGGGAAGATGCTGAAAGCAAGATGCTGAAAGGCAAGTTGTGTATTAGGGTCACCTGGGAATTTTGTTAAAATTACATTCAGGAGCTCCAGAGTGGGGGCTGGTTCTGCTTTCCTCACACACTGCCAGGTGAGCTGCTGCTGGTGGTTAAGTAGCAGATCTCTCACAATTTTTTGCCATTTCCCACACTCCATAGTCTCTGTAGTTGTCAGAACCACCCTACCCAGCACATTCTCATTTGGCAGAGAAGGAACCTGAGGTTCAGAGGTTGACGGCATGCATTTCCCAAGTCCGTGGCAGCCCCAGGATCCAGCCTGGTCGCCTGGGTTCTGACCGCCGCAGTGAGCCAGCCCTGGAGGTGGCCACCACAGCTGGCTGCTCCCTCACCCCACAGAATGTGGTAGTGGAGGGGAGGTTTTGAATGAAAAGCTGGCCCAAGCCTGTACAGAAGTTACTGAGCAAGACCGCCCTTCCCTTCCCTAGGGTAGAGCAAGTGTCCTCCCATCAGCCACGCCCTGCTCCTGCCCTCCCGAGGACAGTGGCTGACACAAGGCTGGCTAGCTCCAGGGCTGCCCTTGAACAGGTGCAGGCCAGGTCACCCCTAAATCCTAAACCACGTCTTCAAAGTCCAAGGTCTCACTCTGTGCTTAGGACTCCCCCCCCCCACTCCCTCTTTCCAGACAGTGCTGGTCCCAGCTCTGGCTGACTGCATCTGACCCTCTGGCCTCCATACCACACGAGTGCCCGCCAGTGCCAGGTCCTAGATGCGAGGGGCAATGAGATCAGGGGAGGGGGTTCGCCCCCCAGAGCAGAGACACTAACAATACAGTGTGCTGAGTATCCTCTGACAGCTTTGTCCTTTGTTCCCCATCACCTATCTCCTCCTGAGGTGTCCTGGCTATCTCCTTGTCTGTTTGGAACATCCTCCACTGCGTCCACTCACTGCTGGGTCTTCTGGTTGACCTCGGCCCCTCTCCTGTTTCCCCAGGGAATCAGACCTCGCTCCCAGCCCCACCGGGGTCAGGCCAGTGTTTCCAGGAACTGTTCCAGGGACTGCTGTGACACACTGCCCAGACAGCAGCCCGGGCAGGCACCTTGGCCCTCACCTTCCACCCAGGCCTGGCCTCAGAGGGCTGTTCCCGAGACAAAGGGCTGAGGAACGGCCTTTCCCCTGAAGCCTGTGCTGCCATGGGCCGGCAGGGTCAGGGTTTTCTGCTGGACTGGACTGTAGTTGCTGCCTCCAGGTGGTGGCTGAGTCAGTTGGGTCCCTACCCAACCTCACCCGACCCCTTAGGGGCCAAGAGCTGCTTGGTGAAAAGTCCAGCCCCATTGCTAGCCTTCCATCTGGCACATGAAGAGGACCTTCATTCTCGAATAGGAGGTGGGGAGGAGTTTGGGACATCCTAATCTGCCTGGAGTGGTGGCCTCCCAGCCCTCAGGGCATTGTTACTCCTTTTCTCTGGGCTCCCTCTGGTATTCTCTTCCCCTCAGGACCAGCCTGTAAGGCCTCAGCCTCCAGGCACAGGAGTGCCCCTGCAATGCCCATACCATACTCCCGGTGCCTCATCGGGCACAGCACCCACACTCCCTCTGTTAGCACAGTCAAGGCCACAGGTGATGGCCCCAGAGGCCAGTGGCGTAAAAGCCTGACCCTCACTCACCCTGCACTGTCCAATCTCAGTCTATTTGGGGCATCACTGACCTCTCCCTTCAGAGAAAAGCTTGTTCATGGTCACCCATTTCAGAGCCGAGCCTCGTCTCCTCAGTGCCTCACGCTGGAAGTCAGCTTCAGTCTCCCAGTGACCAATGGAGCAGTGAGACTGTCTGGGAGGAGGGGTGCGGGCTGCAGAGGCCACAATGGACCCTGGTATGCTCTGGACCACCCCCATTTCACCCGTGCAATTTCCAGTCAGAAATCCGGCCAGCAGAGCAGGCGAGTGTGAGTAAAAATGGCAGCGGGGCTGCCCACCGCAGGTCAGCATCCCTGTGGCTGGTTGTGGTTGAAGCATTAAACAGCAGCAGCTGACATGGATCTGAGTGGGGGCCTAAGGCCCTCTCAAAGCAGTGTTAGATCCACTTCTGCCTTTCAACCTCAACCCTAGGTTTTCCTAAAGCTCTAGATTTGGGGCCCTCATTCTCTGGGAAGCCGAGGCCCCTAGGTTATATGGAGAATCGGGCCTACCTCCAGGTTCCCTGGCCTAGAGACACAGGAAGGCACTCGGCTCTGCTGACATGCCTGGTGATAGGTGCGTGTGGGTGCTGAGTGGCAACACAAATGGGGTCTGCTTGGGGCAGGGTGGCCAGGAAGAGCAGCACGGAATGGATCTCTACCCTCAGGCGCTTCCCCGCTGGCCTCTCCCAGTAGCTCAGGAGCGGAGGATGGACAGTCAGGTAAGGCTTGAGCGGGCCATATCCGGGACCAATGGCACGGGCAGTTCAGAGGCTCCTGCCCAGCCCAGCAGATGCTTACCTTGTGGTGGGTAGACAGGGGACGGAAAACAGGCGGCTCCACAGCCCAGTGCCGTGAGGGATAGCAAAGATGCAGTCCAGCGTGGTTATACTGATTTATTATGATTGGCACTGCTAAGCCCAGGGTGGGCAGGTTACAGTCAAGGACTGATTCCTCAGAGACAGCAGCACTCTTCCCCCCAGCCACCAGAGGGCACCAGACCCCTCAGCCCTCCCTCCCCGCAGAGCTGGTACTCCCTGGGTACCATACTCTCACCCGGTATGACAGGGGCTGCGGGCTAGGAACTAAGCAAAGTGAGTCGTGCAGTTTTGGCCGAAGGCGGAGAGGCCAGCCCTTGTGCTTTCCAAGCATTACCTCTACCTGAGCCTCTCCCCAGAGGGCTGACAGATGGTGTAAGGGTAAGCGGACCCCTCTAACAAGTGGCTCCCCCACCATCCACCCAGGAGTAGGCCTGTCTGCGTTACAATTCTAGATCTGAGACGCTGGCTGACACAGTGCGGGGAGAGGCAGGGGCTGGTCTGGCTTGACCACCTTGTCCCAGGAGAACACTGCCCTTTGAGGGGCTGCGGGGCTGCTGTGGACCAGGATCCCAGATGGTGAGTTCCGCTCGGCCGCGGCGGTGCTCACTTGGCTCCACCTGCCCTTTGTCCTCTGGCCCAGGCAGATCAGCTCTGGGGAAAGTGCTGGAATTCAGGGCGAGGACTCATCTTTTCCAGTACTCTGTGAGAGACGAAAGAGGGTTCAGATTTGACAGTGGGCAGACCCTCAACTCCTGCAGATGTGAAAAGGGCTCTCCTCAGGTGGGCTGGATTAGGTGTCCCCCACCCCATGCTTAGAGGTGTGACAGTGGCTTCTGGAAAGCAACTCTTGTGGCAGTCGGGGAAGAAGTCAGTGGGTCAAGCAAAGTCAGTGGCCCAGCCACAAACAGCCAAGAACACTCTCCCCTCTGGTGTGTTTCCACTAACACAGTTCCATCTGAAAAGTTGCAAGGAGGGGTTGTGGGGAACTGGGGGAAAGAACAGAGCCTTGCCAACAAGCACATTTAGTGAGACCCTTCCCTTCCCCACCCCCCTGCCCTGTACTTAGGGGATGGTGCCCAGGGGGTGAGGCAGTCACCTGCAAGGGGACAGTCCTGTGGGGCAGCGCTCTGGGAGGAAGAGAAGCCCTTTAGGATTAAGGGCTCCTTTATGAGTGCGGATTCAGAGTCCTGCCTTACCCAATCAGTATGGCTGGGATGAAAAGGAGGCCAGCTCCCAGGAGGAAGGGGAACCCCTTCATGAAGTTCAGGGTTGCTGGGTAGAGCGTGTTGAAGATGCCGGAGGCTGCCAGCATAGCCAAGCCATTCACACAGGCCACAGCAGAAAAGAGAGCACCTGTGAAGAAATAAATACTGTACTCTGGAGTGTGAAAGGCCCAGGTTCAAATCCTGGTACCACTACTTCACAGCTGTGTGACCTGGAGAAAATCACTTAACTTCTCTAAGTCTTACCTCCTGTACCTGTAAATCCTACCCAGTCACAGGTCGTGTTAAGGAGACCCTGAGGCTAGGCATGAAGAGCACCTGGCACAGGGACAGGGAGTGAGGGGCTGCTGTTAAATCCACGTTAAGGTACTCACGGTACCTTCCAGCAGAAGCCCAGTCAGAATGATTTCCGGCTTAAACTCTTTGGAATCATCTCCAATGTGAGGTTCGTTGCTGGGTTAATTCCCAGTTCCAACACTTTCTAGCTGTATGATCACTGAGTAAGTTGCCTATCCTTTTGAGTTTCTGTTAAATAAGGATACCTATTTCATAGGTTGTTGGTAACATTACGTTTGCACAGAAAGCTCCTATCAAGGACCTTGGCCCCCTGGAGGTAGCTAGTGAGGGCTGTTCTTTTTTCCTGTTCTCTTGGCTTCTCTGGACACAATGAAGTTGCAGGGAAACACTTAGGGAGTGAATAAATGAAGTCACATGGTTCTGGAGACAACAGAACACATGAACCAGTGTCCAACATCACCAGATCCCCTTCCAGGGCAGAAGGGAAAAGGACCCAGAGCCTGAGTTCCTTATAGATATGTCAGCAGAACCCACGTTTTGCACACAGGAGGTAAAACTGTCAGGATGTCAGAGGTGGAAGGACTGGCAGGGGTCATCAAGAGCAAACCATTCAGGTTGTAGAGAGGGAAAGTGACCAGCCCAAAATATGCAGCCAGGGCCAGGACTAAGGGCAATGCTGAGACCTGCCAGGTCTAAAACTGTCCTGAGTGGTCAGCCGAGCTCCACCACACACTGAGTGACCTTGACTGAGTCAGGTTAACTCTGAACCTCTACTTCTTCATCTGCTTCTGGGGAACCCTACGTCTCATGGTTGTTCCTTCCTCTGAGCTTGAAAACCCTCACCCAATGACACAGCGGGCTCTGGCATCACATCTTTTTTATAGGTAGAAAAGCTGAAATACAGAGAGTAAATCCTCTGCTCAGGTTATCCAAAGGGACATGAATAGCCTTTGCTGATTGCAAAGTCTACCTCTGCGGTCCGAGGGCTCAGCATTCTAAGGGCTTTGGCCAGCCCCGGGCAGTCTAACAGTGGTGCACTGGGTAATGTTCCCCAGGAGGGAGGGAGCAGGGAAGTTGCCCCCAGTGCACGGCTGCCCACCGCCCCTTCCAGCAGTTCAGCAACACTGGGCGTGTGTGAGGGACCAAAGCAGATGCCGACACTCACCGTGCTCAGACTGGCTCACCAGTTTGGAGAGCTTGGCCCGCAAGACAGGTGTGATGACTAGAGACAGGAAGAGGAGCCCATACCCTGTGGAAAAAGAGACTATCACCAGGAAGTGGGAGCAGAGAGGGGTGCCCCGGCCAGCAGAACCTACGCGACCCCACACTGGACTCAGATAAGGCCCAGGGAGAGCTTCCTTTACGGCGACCAGGAGGAATGGAGACTTACCGTTCTCAAGGCTTGGCCACCTCCTTTACGAAGGAGTACGGGTTCTTCCCAACGTCAGAGCGCGTCTGTGGTCCCGGCAGGCACCCCCTCACCCGTCAGTACTTAGCAGGGACATGAGAACAAACTCAGCCTTTGGAGTCAGCCCTGAGTTCCAACCTGACATGGTATCTGTGTGGTCTTGGAAGCTCACCTCCTGGCGCCTGACTCGTCTGTACCAGGATAATACGGCCTTCACCACCGCAGATAGCTTGGGTGTAGGAGGCGGAAGACTGGCCCCCTCAAGCTATCAGGTCTCAACCCCTGGAAGCTGAATATGTTGCCTTATTTGGAAAATGGATGTCTACAGATGTGGTGATGAAGAATTTGGACATGGGGAAGTTATCCTGAATCAATTGATTGGGACCTAGATCACAAGAATTCTTGTAGAGGGCAAGGACAGGGCACCCGTGTGCCTGCAGAGGCAGAGCTCGGGGTGAAAAGGAAGGCCTGCAGCCGCCACAAGCCAGGGCCCTCTGAGCACCTCGCAGGGAGCTTGGTCCTGGGGCGCCTTGACTTTAGTCCAGTGATAGCAACTCTTGGCTCCTGGTGTCCAGACTGAGAAGACAAATTACTTCATGTCTTCAGTGCCCAGGCTATTACATTACCAAAACTGGGAGAGATTTCTGTTGCTTTAATTCTCCCAGTTTGGGTAACATGATGTAATAGCCTGGGCAATGAAGACATGAGGTAACGCCCAGGAGGAGCCACACAGAGTGAACACACAGTATTTCTCCTTCCTTTGCATTCAGCAATTCATAGGCTCCCACTGGCTCCTTGGTTATTTCCTTTGCGTCCTTCACTATCTCCCCAAGTGACCTGCTCCTGAGTGAAACCAAGTTTCAGAAGATAGCGGAGCCTCCAAAGTGAGCATACCGTGAGGCAACCCAGACTTCAGGTGATAGGCCCCAAGCCCCACTCTGCTGAGGCTCCCCCAGAGCCATGATCGCACAGTCATCACCCCAGCACCGCCTCCCAGCCCAGCATCTGAGTCCCGCCAGGTCCAGGGAGATGCCCTGGGAGGGAGAGAAAAACAAGGAGCATGGCGTACTCCCTTCAGCTTTCTTGTCCAGACAGCGGTCAAGCTAGGAAACCTGACATTCCTGCATGGCTGACTCATTGCACACAATGCATTTTAGGGCTCTCAAATCTGTCCTTAAAAAAAATGAACTTCCTGTATTTCACCAAAAAGAAAGTACTAAAGTGAAAGGGAACTTGCTATCTATGCTCTGAGAAAACAGGTTTTTTTTTAAAAAAAAAACCTCAAAGAAGATGACTGAGGACCTTTGAGGAAGGTCCTTTGATTTTTTATCAGAGTAATGAGGCTTTAATCACATGGACTTTAAGAACCATGAATATATGCTGTGGGAGGCCAAGGAGTGAAACAACCAGTGTCTGAGCCATCCTTTGCATGCTCTACTAACATCTATGGTGGAGAATGTGGATCAATTACTTTGCCATTGAAATGGCATCTTTATGAAGTTTCTTACTGTCTTTCCTCCAGTGCAGGTTAGGGGGCATATGATGTTTTCAAAGGCAGTGTCATGAACCCCATTTATGGGCATTGAGTGGCTGGCCCCCAATTTTCACTCTGTCCCTCCGGAACAAACCGTCTCTAAGCCCACACACTCTACCTGTGAACATGAGGGGTGTGATGTTAGCGAATGCAAAGACCACCATCCCCATGATGTTGAAGGCCAGGCCAATCTCTGCCACCCAGCTGTCGGCCAGGAAATACTGCAGAAGCCGCAGGCCCAGCAGGCTGGTGAGGTAGGTGAGGTGGTGCATTGCAGAACCATATCCTATCAGCGTGGAATCCCAGCAGAGGGGTGAGCTCAGCTCATAGAGGGTCAGGATGTCCTGGGCCCCAAAGTGCACAGTGATCACCACAAAGATGGCCAATGAGTACAGGGCCAAATGCTTCCTGGACTTCTCTGGAGCAGGAGACATGTACAGCTGGAAAATGGATCGGTGGTGACGGAGTGTGAAGAGCCGGGTACGTGTCGGCTCCTTCACAGTCTCACCAAAGCAGAATGCTGCGTAGAGAGTCATGGTTATCAGCAAGGCCATGGCCAGCCAGAATGGGTTGGCATAGCCCTGGGCCTGCAGCCAGTAGCCTCCGAGGAGACTGGCCAGCATCCCCCCTATCCCGATACATGATTCCAGAACAGCCATTCGGATGGTGCGGGTGTGGCTGGAGCTGACGTCTGCCACGGAGGCAAAGCTAGCAGCGAGCAGGCCACCAAAGTCACCGAGGAGGGCGGACACGATGCGGCCCAGCACAAAATAGCCAACGTGGAGCTCCAGCTGCACCACAAAAATGGAGATGAGGGACTGAAGCAGCAGACCAAAGGAGGCCAGTACCAGCAGGGGTCGGCGGCCCACACAGTCACTCCAGGCACCAAGCAGGGTGGATGAGAAGAGATCAACCAGGAAGCCACCCACATTCATATAGAGAGTCCAGTGGGAGGTAAGAGTCTCCACTTCCTGTGAACAAAGAAGTCTTACCCGAGGACAGCAACTAGCTCCCCGGCGCACACTGGGGAAGGCCTTCTCTGGCGCCCTAAACTTAGAAGCCAAAGCACCTCACTGGCCTGTATCACCTCCAGACTAACTCTCCCAAACTTGCTCTCGCCCTGCTCACCTTTCCACACTCCTAACCCACTCGGTGGCCCCCAACTTTCCAGCGGGCGCGCCCCCTGCAAAGCCCCTCGCGGGTCCTCGCCTCCGCTACCTGCATTTTGGGGTCCGCGCTGTGGTTGCTGCAGGTGCCCCGTTCGCGGGTGCCATTGTAGCCAACCTCCGCGCTGAAGCGGTGCCAGAGGTACTGCGTGGTGAGCGGCCCCTGCAGGACCAAGGCGAAGTTGGCGAGGAAGACGAGAGGTTCCACCGGGCCGCGGAACAGCACCAGGGTCCGCGCGCGGCCGTGGGGCTCAGCCGCGGGGCTCGCGCGCGGCTCCATGCCCACGTCAGCTTCGGACTGGCAGACCGCGCGGCGCGTGGGGGGAAGTGGGGGCGGGGCTTACGGCGCCTGCGCCCGAAGTCCCTGTCTTAAAGCCGGCGGGCGGGGGCGGGGCCTCCCTCGCGCCCCGCCCACTCCGCGCTGGTGAGGGCTGGCGAGGGGCCCCTGGCCTATGGGGACAGGGTGAGCTAACCTGCAAGCTGTGCAAAGATCGCGCTGCATTCCTCCCTGCCAGGCCCAGAAATTCTGAGAACAATAGCAAAAAGATCAATAGTTAACAATTATATGATTGGTTATTCCGTGCTGAGCAATGTACTAAATAGGGTGCGTTAATCTCTCAAGCACTCTGTAGACTAGCCACTCTTAATGATGCCAATGTACAAATGTGGTAATAAAGCCATCAGGCGCTCAAGGACCCGAGCGAAAGGTCACACGAGGGATGATGCTGATGCTGACAACTCAGAGTGGATACCAATGCGGCCCCCATACGCCAGTGCCAGTTAGAACGAACGCTGCGTGGCTGAAACTTGTGCACGGTCATGCATCTCTTAATGGAGGGGAGACTTCTGAGCAGAAGTCTCTTCTTAGACAATTTCCACATTGTGTGAATGTCATAGAGTATAATTACACAGCCCTAAAAGATACCGCCCACTGCGCTCCCAAGCTATGAGGTACCATCCAGTGGGACCCCCGCTGTGTATGAGGTCGCTGGGAATGTCATTAAGCAACATGTAGTTTATAAATCAATGTCACCTCAATAAAGTTAAAGCCATTGCGGCCCTAGGCTCTGCTGCCTGGTTCTATTAGCAGGCCCTGCTGCTGTCTTAGCATACTACTCATTGCCCTGGGCCTCAGCTTCTTCTTCTTTAAACTGCGGTGCTAATAGAACTGTTGTGAGAGAACACATCTGTTATGCTGCATCTTTTGTGGGAAACAG